CACAGTAGATACCCAATATTTACGAATGAGCGAGCATGCCTATACTGATCCAACTACCTAGAATACTTGACCCAGCTTTAACTTTCTAATGAACCAAAACATTCCTTCAAAACCCAGCTCAGGAGTCACCTCCTCTGGGACCTCCTTCTCCCTTCTTCCCCTTGATTCTCTCCTGCCCTGTCCTGGACAGTTTCATCTGGCACACCTATACAGTCACGTGCTACCTAACAACATTTCAGTCAATGACAGTCCACATATGCAATGGTGGTCCCATAAGATTAGCGCCACAGAGCCTAGGTGTGTAGTAGGCTGTACCATCTAGGTTTGTGTAAGTGCACTCTATGATGTTCGCACAAGGATGAAATCGCCTAACAATGCGTTTCTCAGAACGTATCCCCACTGTTAAGTGACACATGACTGTACTTCATGCATAATTTCAATATAATGTTTTTATTAATTTACTATGAAATCCTTGAAAAGATCACATCCTAGTCATCTTTTCATCCTCAGCAACCAAGTAAGGGCTTGGTACATCAACAATAAATGGTTATGGAATTAACAGGAATATAATTACATATGCTGTGTGCAACCTAAATTTTAATTTTGCATTTGGTGAATCTGGGTAAGGAATAAAAGAGAGTTCTTTGTACTACTCTTACAAGTCTTCTATAAGTTTGCAATTACTGTAAAATAAAAATTTTAAACACACACACACAAATGTGTGACAAAGCCCTTATTTGGATCAAATATTTTCCTCACTACATCACATAAGACTGGAATGAGCACAGTAAAGCAGCTATGGACATAGACCTCAATTGTTAAAGAAAACAAAGACTGAAAATCTTAGATTTTCAAATCCTGTTACCTCTCTCTCCCAATCCGTTATGTGGATTGTATGTGTACCATCTTTAGATACACAAAACAGAAAATAGTTATCACTCCTATAGATAGTGACTAAGATTAAGACTTTAGATTTAGATTCTTTTAGACTAAGATTAAGCAGAAAAGGTTAACAGTAAAAAAAAAAAATCTTATAAATTGAAGCTGGTTTGCTTTAAGTTACCCAAAAGATATCCCTTAAACTAATCTATTAAGGAAAGGTAATCTATTCTTATCATATAATTCAGAGAAAATGCATACAATTCTACACAGCTATAATTCAATGACGGGTCAATCTAATAACAGTTTATTGGCAGTCTATAATTTTCAAGGCACTGTGCTACGGGTTATGACTGCCAAGTTGAATAAGACATTACTCCTGCCCTACGGAGGCTCAGGTCTCTTTAAAGTACTAGCGGGGGAAGGGGGTGGTTGAGGGAAGAGGGAAATGGCTGAAATAAAATTGGCAAAATATTGTTCATTGCTGTTGGAGCTGGGGGATGGGCACATGAGGGCTGATTACATCATTCTCTGCTTTGTGTATTTAGTGGGTAAATACTATAGCAGACTTTGCTGATCATCAACATTCTACGCCTTGAATTCTGGTCATCTCCACATTCATTCATCCTTTCCTTCTTTATTGTTTCTTAATCTCAGGAACTTCACAAGTCTTACCTTCACAAATTCAGAAGCACCTAAAACAGTTTCTTGTGCATACTAAAGATCTGATAAATGTTTCCTGAACTGAATTTGATAAGTCACATCACATTTATTAATTTAACTGGAGAAAAGTCTGCCACAGCTGATAGTTATAAAATGACTCCCATCAGCCAGGCTTCTCACAAGATAAATCACACGTTTGATCTGGACCTGCCTAGTAAATCTGATTATGTCCCTCGAAGGCTTCACTTCTGATTAGCCCCGCTTTCCCTCTTAAATGAATCCTTTAAACAAGTTCTATTCCACGCATCTTAAAACAAAAACCCTCAACCCACATCCCATCCTCCTGTCATTATCCCCTTCACCCTCACAACAACCAGGCTCTTCTTCCCCACTCCCAGCCCCAGCTTGCCACACACTTTTGCCCAGTCAATCTCTAGACCACCTTCAGGTCTCTCTTTAAATGTCAGCTGCCCAGTGATGCTTACCCCACCACCCGCTCCAGACCAGCTTAGGGCCTCCTCCTCTGCCCCACCCTACTCTTCCTCCTCCTCCTCTCCTGGTTCTTCCAACAGCCCCCTTCCTTAAAGCTCCGCTGCACTTTACTGCAGTGACAGTGTTCCCAGGCAGGAAACATGTCTGCTTTGGTCACTGCTGCTTCCGTAGTGCCTGACACATTTCCAGGAACACAGGAGAGGCTCAACAGACATTAGGTGAATGAAGAAAGCCCAGGGGGCAAGATCTCATCTGCCAATATTTCCAGGGCAGCATCACGTGCAAGTCCCATGCCAGCCTTTAGTGGATTCCTATCAAGCCTTCAAAAAGCTTACTGTTCACCAGGAGACATAAGAGAACTTCATCACAAAAATAGCATTTACATGTCACTTTACAGTTTATGAGACGCTTTTATATCTATGATCTTCTTTGATTTTCCAGTAATCTTAAGTAAACAGTATCTCTCACTTTACAGATGAGAAAACAGGTTTCATATATAAGTAACTTGCCTAACATGATTCAAAAAGCAAATGTTGCAGCAACCAGATAAATCAATGCTATAAGTCAAGGTGGAATAGTGCTAGAGAAACCCACAGTACTATGAGAGTTCCAAACAGAAGTTACTACTCCTGCTGGGATATCATGAAAGGATCATTTTGTGTTGATCCTTGAAGAATGCGTCCAGTAGGTGGGAATGAACAAAGGGCATATCAGGGAAAAGGAACAGCATGAAAACAGATGGAGAGTGTTGACTGAGTGACTATGTAGTGTACAACCAGGAAACAATGAACAGCATGGATGGACTGTTTAAGTAAAAAGTGAGAGTTTAGACTGGAAACTGAGGTTGGTTAGATCTGTAGCCTCTTCAAGGATAAGGGCGTCTCTCCTTCATTCTTATATCCCCAGAACCTGTTACAGGCAGGTCTAGAGCAAGTAGAAACATCAGAGAGAACCGTCAAATTGAATACACTGCATAGGTGTACTAAAGATGCCTCTTCTGTAGGACTTTGCCCACAGCTCCTGTCACCCTCAACAGCCATGTTCTCTACCACCAGCCATAACCAGGGATGGACATATGATCTGTGACATGTGACTGCCCAAAGAAATATGCTAGGCCAATCAGATTCCTCTCTCTAGAACTGGGAATTAGAAACCAGAGAACAGTCATTATGGGCCTTGCACAAATGACAGTTTTGAGACAGCCAGTCAGCAGAGAGGGAACCCAACAGATATGAACAGAGATGAAGACTCCTCCTAAGTAAGAAAACAAATGTGGTCACTGAGAGATGCAGAAGGTGAAGCTGCCCGGATCCTGATTCTTATTCAGTCCTATAAATCTCAATTTCCTTAAGGTAAAAGAGTAAGTCTTTGTTCCTTGCCTTTTAAACAGCCCTAACAAACATAGCAGCAGAGAAACTGACAGTTCTTGAGCAAACGCAGGAAGAGAAGGATGGCACATTCACATGATCGTAGGAAAATTAATCTCCCAGCAGTGTATGCGGTCAGAAAAACCCAAAGAATCAGAACCCTGGATACGAGTCAGGGAATCACCAAAACAGACAGCCCACAGTATAGAGGACAGTTGGTGGGGACAGAAAAGAGATGAGAGAGATGAACCTGAACTATATAAAATCTCCCATATTTGACCCTTTGATCTACCAAAATATCCAGAAGAGAAATTCTGGATGTAGAAATAAAAGAAACTACGTGACTGACTGGAGATGAAAAGAACAGGTCAAACGTGACTAGAGGCCAAGCAAGGTGACAGGAGGATGGTGCCGCCATCGTCAAAAAAAGGGAAGTCAGGACTTTTCTCTGCATGGTTATCACCCCCTCCCTCCTCAACACCCCTGCTGGGTGAATGAGGCCCTGGCTGCTGCGGCCGGCTGAATTTGAGGTGCTGCAAAAAAACCAAGTTGGAGAATCCACCCAGTATTTGGAAAAACAGATGTTGGAATCATTCACACAGAGCGTAGAACAAAGATTCTCAAACGTGTGTACATCAGAGTTACTTGGGAGGCTTGTCAATACACGTATCCCTTGGCTTCTCCCCTAGAGAATCCTATTCAGTAGGTCTGGGGTGGGCCCAGTAACTGACATACAAACAAGCACCCCAAACTGATTCCGATGGAAGCGTCCATGCTGGTAAAGCTGGAGAACAAAGAACACAACTTGCTGCAGCATTTCTCAACCTTGGCTCTGCATCAGATGCCCTACAGCGCTTTGAAAAATGTTCGATGTCTCATCCTCAGGTTGTCAAAGTGCAGGCAGTGACAAAACCTATCAGAATCACCCGAAGGAGTGATTCCTGAGCCACACCCCAGGCCAGCTGAATGGGCATCTGAGGGAAAGGCTAAGAAAGCTACATTTTTAACCAGCGCCCCCAGCGGCTGGCAAAGATGGCTCCATAAACAGTTACTAATAACAAAATAATTCTCATTGGTTTAACCTTTCCATATGTCAAAACAACTCGAAAGAAAATTAATCCCACCTTGCTGGCTGACAAAGAAATCGTTCCCCTATAAAAACATCATGGAAGCGTCGTAACCAATGGCTTGCTGATATCCGTCAGCATTTAAAGGCCCGCACAGGACAATGGAGCGATGGAGCCCACCATGAAAGCAAAGGGAGAAAGCCACGCACCTCGCCCCCGGACGCCCCGGGGAAGAACGCTCGAACGCCGGCCTTCGCGGCACCGGCCCACGGGGCCCTCGAGGCGGCGCGGGGGCCGGCGGCCGCTCGCGAAAGGACAACGACTGTTTGCCTAACAGCCCCCGCCAGCCCCGAGGCGCCTCTCGGCCCCGGGGAGCCGGACCCCCGGGGCAGCACGGCCGAGGCCTATCCTGCGGTCCAGCAAGCGCAGAGGCCCCGGAAAGCCGGCCCCGCAGCCCCGGCCTCGCCCCCTCCCCGCCGGGCCTCGCCCTGCCTCCGCCCCGCGACCCCGCAAAGCCGACCCCCACACTGACCGTCTCACAGGCTGCCCGAGGACGGCGTCCACCGCCCGGGCGCAAAGGGCCCGCTCTGCCGCAGGCGCTGTCAGAGGACGGGCAGGGCAGAGACGCCGGCGTTCTGCGACTCGCCCGCACCACGCCCGGCGGCCATTTTCCTCCGTCTCCCAGAACTGACAGATCATGTGACCCCTGCGGAGGGGCGGGGCGACCTGTGGCCACGCCCACTGGCGGGCGCCGGGAGCCCGAGGGAGGCGGGGCTGGAGGAAGCTGCGGGCTAGCAGGGGCAGGTGCCTGGGAAGCAAGTTGACCCGCCCTGCTGCCCTCCGCGCGTTCCCTCTGGCCTCTCAGTAGGTGTATTTTTGACAAGCGCCCCAGGCGATGTTTTCTTCATTGTCAGTGTCACTCTTCTTATTACGGTTAGTTTGTAAACCCTATTCGCCATTGTATCAAAGCTTATGCAGAGAAATAAACCACAATTATAACTTCAGAAGACATTACAAATACATCGCAAAGGCCAGCTGAATCTCCTTCCTCCCGAACCCAGAAGCGAGCCCTCTGCCTTTTCTGAACGTCTGTGGCATCTATATTCCTGGTGCAGAGAGCCCGACCCCTGGCTTCCTCACTCCCCTCTCTGCAGCCCTGGCAGTCTGGCCTCCACCTCTATCTCTGCAAAAGGGACCTCTGTCTTGCCCGTAGCCAAATGCGATTGACAGCTTTCCCTTGTCACCCATTTCGTGCACAACGCCTTCCTGGAAATGTGCCCCTCCCTGGGCTTCTGTGACTCTAATTCTCCTAGTTTTCCTACCATTTCTCTGGCTGCTTCTCTCAGATTCTACCTCCCTTAAATTGGTTGATGTTTCCAGAGTTCAGCCCAAAGCTGGACTCAGCACCCTCCCCTACCCAATGTGATCCTCCTCCTGTTTTGCTACTGTCTGGGGACCTGGCTCCTGCCCCCAACCAGGAAGACAGGAATTGGGAAGTCATACAACTCCTCCTCCCCTCCCCAAGGTCATCCAATCAGTCGCCTGACTGCGGCCACTGTCATCACTCCTGATGTTTCAAGGCTTCAGAAACTCTTCACCAGGAATATACCGAAGGCCCCCACTACTCTCCCTTCCTCTGCTGGTGCCCTACTGTTTCTCCAGGAGATTGGAGAGTGTGTTACATCTTTGATTAAACTGCTCAGTAGCCTTCCATTTCCATAGAACAAATTGCCGAATAGGACTTAGGAGGCTCCTCAGACGCTGGCCCCTGCCAGAGTTCTCATCATTGCTCTGTCCACTACTCTTCCCATCCTGCTCCCACGCCCAGGCTGGCAAGTATTTACAGTTCCTGGAACATTGGGCCATGCTCTTTCTCATCTTCATTCTTTTCCAAAGTGTTGTTCCCTCGCCTGGACATTCTTCCCTGCCTTTTGTCCAACTGATTCCAACAGATGAATTCTATTTGTCTTGTAAGATACAGCTTAAGCAGTCCCCTCTTTTGTGTGGCTTCCTGGATGACCTCAGAGTTCGTCATTCCATCTTCTGTATTCACTTTCTTACTCCACAGCACCTAGGACACAGTCAGTACTCAAAAGTATATATTAAAGCGTATTTAACCTGTTGATTTATCTTTCCTCTGCTATAAGGTTCATTCCATCTTTATTCCACAACAACTCCCCTCACCCTGTTTGGAACAGTGTCTGGCCTTGGTGAGCTTTTAAGAAACCACGTAGTTTATGACTCCATCATATGCTTTGGGGCACTCTCTCATTGTATCATGTGTGTCACACCCACATCTGATGGAGCCATACTCCCTGGCTTTTTCCATGTGTTGTCAGATTGATCCATTGGGAGAAGCTCTTCAGTGGTTCTTAACCTTGACACATCAGAACCATCTGTGGAACTTTTTGAAAATCAAGACTTGCCACTTGGAGATTTTAAAATGTCTCCCTCACTGATTCCAATGAAACACCGTTCTCAGACTTGGGTTTTGGTCCCTTTGGGTCCAAATCAGTGATTTCAAATATGAACCTCCCTTTTTAATGCCAAATAATTTTTTGGAGACCTACCCAGGATAGTTGGTGGCCTTTTAGTAACCACAGTTGTGAAAGCAACATGGTAATTGGAATTTGTGGTTTCATAGGGATCTGTAGCCCCAGAATGGAAACCTGTGTTCAAAACATAATGAACTGTCTGGAATGTCAGCAAGGCAGTTGACAGGTTTTCTTGAGTTTGTGGACACAAAGGGAAAATGTGAATTATATATCTGAGGTTGGGTCAAAGGCACAGAAAGATCTCATTGAAGAGTGTTGGTTAGTGAAATGATGACTCAGGATGACAGGATTCTTGAATCTTTAAGTACCTTCCTGTATGGAACACCATTTTGAGAAGAGTTGCCCCCATGATAATCCTCGCCTTTCCAACCCAGCTCACCACCACTGCCTCATCCCCATCAGCTCCTTCACCCGTAATTTCTGTGTCTCCAGCAGCATTGCCTGGTTAGGGAAACCGCCCCTCCGCAACAAGCCCAGGAGTTAGACAGGCCCAGGCTCATGTAGGCTGAGCTCTGCTTAGTTGGTGTGAGCCACACTGAGTGGCAGCGAACCAGCATGAATAGAACATCTCTCTTGGGGGAAACTGGCACACAACAGCAAGCAAGGGGCAGGGGTCGGGAAGCAGTGGGTCTCCAGCTTAGGTGGTCCCAAGCACCACTGCATTGCAATGGGGGGTTCTCAGTCAAGAGCCTTGCAAATCCTGGTCTAGAAGCAGGACAGTCAGTCCCAGACACCGAAGAGACAATCACCTAAACCACCTGAATCTCCTCCCCACCTTTCCCCACTAAATAAAAATCCTGAAGATACTCAGTGTACAAGTCGTTCTTTTCTAAATATTTTTAAAGCAGTCCAGATAAACAGCCTGAGGAGAAGCTACTAGAAACAGGCTTTATTTTAGCCCACATTTTAATGGAGGAGAGGGAAGGGTCAGGTCCAGGATGGCAGGGTGGGAGGAAAGAGGAAGCACTGACTCGGAGAAGAGATTTATCAGGTAGGGTCCCCTCCAATGCACATCTGAACTGGGGAAGGGAGAAAGCTTCAGTGTAGGGCTTTTATTGTTATACCAGGCCAGGCATTGATTACTGAAATGAGGATTTTTAATCACCAAAGGTGACTAAACTAGGTAATATTTTATGATCTAAGAGTGACAAGAAAAATTATGAAAGTTATGCGACCTACTCAAAATTTCATCTGGGGATGGGAAGCAAGAAGCAGATATAGAGCATTTTCGGGAGCTGTCCCGAGGAAAAACATAGTGGCTTTATAATCCCGCTGTATCGCATCCTCCTCTCGCAATTATTAGTAAATTATATCTATTTTGATAAGAAATATTTCCTAACTCATGCAAAAGCTGTTTATTCATTTCATGCTTCTGGACTCTTAGCACTCATGCCCGTAACGATATAACTATTGTGAAATAGAACTGAAACGCTCTCTCCTCAGTTTGGTTTCAAATACATCACTCTCTCCACTTTCATGGGTCTCTTTGTGGTTTATGCAGTTTGCCAAAATCTTTCTGGCAAACGCATCCTAAGGTTTCTCGTTTCAGCAGAATCACTCAAATCACTTCAAGAGTCTGACTTTTCTCCCTGTCACATGGTATTACGCAGAAGGAAAAATATGAGCTGTCTTTGCAGTCCTCTCTGCTCTCCCCATCAGAGCTGTAATTTTCATCACCCGCTCATCTGTTTCAGCAGCGTCAGCACGTTGGGAGGGTGATTTTAGCAGTTCAATCTTTTTACATGGTTTCAATTTCATCAAATGTCCAATTTTCCATAGAAATCTTAACATGTTTTACATACCAGCTTGCTGTAAAAATTGTTTTTCTCTGATTGTGAAAGGAATATGTGTTCATTATAAAGAATGTGGAAAATACAGAAACACGTGAAGAAGAGACACCCCCCTAATCTTGCCACACGGAGTTCCTGACTTCTTAAACAGAGATTTGAAACAAAAACTTTATTGACCGAAGTCCTCATTTTAAACACCCATTATTGAAAAGGGGAGGGGCATCAGGGATGCTCCTGAGATGTCATTTTTGCCTTGATTCGTGATTGTTGCTGCCTTCACTTCTCTTGATATCTTTGCCAGTCTCCTCCCTCACCCGTTTAATCAGCATGTTCCTTCTACACAAAAAACATGTAGAAGGACGTTTCCTCAACTCTGGGATGGTACCAGAAAGAAAAGGAATGCACTAGAGGACAGAGTTAAGAACACATAGGAGAGGGGCAAATATAAAACTCTGTGTTCAAGTCGGGGGACGAGGAGGACAGACAGAGAGAAAGTTGGAGGAAAGAGAAACTTGTAACTGGGTTAATACCGGTTCATTTTAAAAGACTTTGGGTTTTAGTTGATTACAAGCTCAACATGAGTCCAATATGGCTGCCAGCAGGGCAGACACATTTTCACGCCAACCCAACTGCCTTGCCACAGCTTTTAGACTCTCTAAAGCTTTTTTCATCATCAAATTCTTCGGAGCCCCTCTTCATGCAAGGACAATCTAATTAGGGAGATGGGTTATATACTAAAAGAAAATATTATTAGCTCAAGATAGCATAGGCTAAGGCCCAAGGATGTGGGAGCTCACAAGAGTGATGGTCTCTGGGGATTGTTGGGAGTTGAAAAACAGCCTCAAAGAAAGGAGGAGGATAAGCAAGATCAGGGCGATGACATCACCCAGGAGTTGGGAACAGGCATTGAATTGTCAGGAAATTCTACTCAAGATCAACATCCAACCACACTCATTTAGAGCTTTACATCAAAAGCATTGTTTTAGGGCAAAATTAAGTTAATGAGGTTCAATTCTTTCTTCCCCTTCTTGAAAATTTGGAACTCTTTCCACTTGCAGGGGCTTGGCGTCTTGCTCTAAGTTAGCACCTTGAATCCCCATTAGTCTCCAAAGCCAAGGTTCACTCATCAGCGTAGGTTCCCGTAAAGGGGAACCAGAGCTGGAACAGAAAGAGAGAATTAATATGGCATTAGGGCCACTGGCGGATTTTTTTAACCCTTTCAATTCTATGTGACTATGAATTAATGTTTAATTTTATTGTGCCATAAAAACTATGTGATTCAGATCTGCTAGTTGGTATACCTTTTGATGTTGTACCTGTCTCCTATCTTAAGTATGAAATTTAATTTCATTTTATCATCTTTTAAATTATCAAGCAGTTTTTGCTCACTAAAGATGCATTAAAAGTTTAGGTTAGCACACCATTTAACATAGCATTAGATTCAATTAATTTTATTAATGATTCTACCTTATCTCTGTAATTTTTTCCCATATCTTTCTGTAAAACCAATGTTGAACCTAAAGATAGCTGCTTTTCCATTTGTTTCTTTTTTTTTTTTTTAAAGATTGGCACCTGAGCTAACATCTCTTTTTTCCTTCTCCTCCCCAAGGCACCCCAGGAATTGTTGTATATTCTGGTTGTAGGTCCTTCGGGCTCTGCTATGTGTGACGCTGCCTCAACATGGCTTGCTGAGCAGTGCTAGGTCTGCGCCCAGGATCCAAACCAGTGAAACCCAGGGCCACCAAAGCAGAACGTGCCAACTTAACTGCTCAGCCATGGGGCCAGCCTCTCCATTTGTTTCTTGTGAAATATTAAGCCATTTCTCCTCCACTTCCAAATTGCCTACCAAGTGGTTCTTTATTGAATTAAATTGACTTCAACTTGACTTATTTATGCATTTGGCTATCCTTGAGCCAACACAACACCATTTAACTATCACTTTATAATTAGTTGCAATATTTTTTAGAATGAGTTCTCTGAGATTATCCTTCTTGGTCCTTTGAATTTCCATTGTTCATCCTTCTTGGAGCTTATAGTAATTGATGCCTTTCAGCAGCATCAAAAATGTCTGACATTCTCTCTTCTCCCCACTGGGACTCTAATCACTCATGTGCCAGACCTTATCACCATATTCCCTATGTCTCTTACTCTCTTCTGTGTATTTCCTATCCTTTTTTTTCTCTTCATGCTTTGCTCTGGATATTTCGATATATATCTTTGAAGAGGAAGAGATTAATTACACTTGGAGGAAGCTGGAAAGACTACGTAGTCAAGATGAGCTGTGAGCTGGTTCTTCCTTACAGGACTGGCCAGAACTTCGAGCCGGCAGCAGCATTTTACTTAAGGAGGAATGTGAGTGAGCTATAGTAAAAAATGACGAACACGGTTGTACAACCAGAGTGCGGGAAGGGAGAGGAGTGTTACAGAAAAGGAGATAATACCAGTCAAATACCTGTATATCAAGACATCTGAAAACCAAGCCTGAAGCAATGTGCAGTTAGTATAAAACTTTGGTAACCCCAGCTAACAGAACCCCCTGGAGACTTACCAGGAGATTGCTCACAAGAAAATCATGGGAGAGCTATAGGATATCTATTTAGGGATATAGCAGGGGTATCAGTAGAGGGATCAGCCTCCATTCACCAGTCCTTCATTTTACTCATTCAAATTAATGAGCTCCTGTCACGTACCAAATATCTTTGAATATGTGAATGAGTCACTATCAGACTCCCTCATTCCACACGTATTCATTGAATGCGTACTATGTGTTCAGCACTCTTCGAGGCACTGGTGATACAGCAGTTAGGACAAATCCCTGCCATCTTCCCTCATGGAGCTTATATTCCAATGGGGGAGACAGACAGCCAACCAGCAAGTAATAAGGAGTCTGCAGATAGTGACCAGCGCCATGGAGAAAGAGAACTTGGAGTCAGACGAGTGAGGAGTGCAGGAGGCCAGAGGAGGTTAGGGAAGAGGCCACGCACTGGTAGGAGGAAGAGAAGTCCAGGCAGATGGAACAGTAGGTACAAAGTCCCAGAGGTGGGGACGTGCTTGGCATGTTCAAATAACAGTAAGGTCAGAGGGGGCTAGAGCAGAATGAGCAAGGGCAAGAACAGGAGGAGAAGAGACCAGAGAGGACGGATTGGGCAGGGCCTTGTCAGCCACGATGAAGATACTGAATTTTACTGCAGGTGAGATGGGAAATTACATAAGGGACACAACTGACCTTTTAGAAAACTCATTCTGCCTACTGTGTGAAAAACAGATTGTCAGGAGTGACAAGGGTGGAAGCAAGAAACTATTTAGGATGCTTTTGTAATAATACAAGTAAGAGACGACTGTGGCTTGGACAGGGGTAACGGCAGTGGACGGAAAGCAAGTCAGGTTCTGGGTGTATTTGGAAGTAGATGACCTGGAGGCCCCAGTTCTGAAGCATCTGGGAGATGGAAGGTGAACAAGGTCTGCAACAGATGGAGCCAGAATCCAGTCGATGAAACGTTTCTTCAATCGTTAGACATGTAAAACTGTGAGAAGATCTACACCTAATCAAAAAGGAAGCTCTCTTCTGTCAAAATACATTCAAGAAAAAGACGTCAGGCAAATCCCAATGGGAGAGACATTCTACAAAACCCCTGACCAGTACTCCTCAAAGCTGTCAAGGTCATCAAAAACAAGGCAAGTCTGAGAGATTGTCACAGTCAAGAGGAGCCTAAGGAGACGTAATGACTATGTGTAGTGTGTCCTGCATGGGATCCTGGGACAGAAAAGGGCGTGAGGAAAAAACTTCGGAAATCTGCATAAAGAATGGACTTTAGTTAATGATAATGTATCAGCATTGGTTTGTTAGTTGTGACAAACGTACCATACTAACATGTTCACAATTGGGGAATCGTTGTGTGGAGTATATGGGAGCTGTGCACTATCTTCACCATATTTTCTGTAACTTTAAAACTCTTCTAAAACAAAAAGTTTATTTTATATATATTTTTTTCAATGATACAGCACATACAATTACCAATGCACCATACCTCATTTCTCTTCTTTGCTGGGTCATACAATACGGAATTAATCAGAAGCCCTGGGCTTTTAGGACAGAAACCTGTAGCAGTACTACAGTGCTATAGCTGTAGCATCATTACTGATTGCAGACCAGAGTCTACACAGGGTAAGGGAGAAGGAAGGACATGGAGTCTGTTTGCTACAGGGAGTGAGTTGGAAAGCTGGGAAGTGGTTGAGAGTGGAGTGCTTGAAAGGGAGACTCTTGGTGATAACAAGGTCTAAAGCAGGTCTTGTGGTGGCCTGAGTAGAACAGGGAACGAGACCACGGAGGATGGCAGGTTAGGGAACTGGGAGCCCAGAGTGTTGGCAGGTTCTTCTACAAGGATATTTAAATTATCAAAGATCATGTGTTGGAGAAAGTAATAATAACCAGGTTCCAATATTTTCTAGTAGGGAGTGACCTAGGGAAGTCTGTAGACGGTAGCAGCAAGGAGGGATGGCATGAGCTTCTAAACTCTGATATTTTAGGAGGAAGCAGGAACAATTATCTGCATGTGACAACGAGGAGGAAGCAGGGCGCCTACCTCAGCTCTATGCCCAGTGAGGAGAGCAGGAAACCAGCTACCGTTTAACAGGTCTGCAAGGGAAGCTATGTCCTCAGGAAAGACCCGAGTTTTCCTTAGAGCAAAAGGTGAAGGGAAGAGTGAGCAGACGGGGGGTAGCTTACTAACTAGGGGTTGGGAGAGGGTAGAAGATACGCTGTACAGAGCTGCATGGGGACAGCAAGTTTTCCATTTCAATACTGATGAAAACAGAGATGATCTGGCAAACATAAATATATTGAAATGCTCTAATTGTAGACACAAAAGCCGCTTCCATGCAATTGCTGCAGCAGCATGAAGTTCAGGCTGTTACCCATTCACACAGCATCTTCCTAAGAGCACCACCATCATACACTAAAAATATCTACTCACCCTGGTTTATGGGGCCAAATTCCTAATGGAACAAAAGGTCAGGAGCACATGATTATTAGTATGAAATTCCTGAGTCCTTCATTTTTAGTCAGTTTCTCCCTGAGCAAACTGATTCAGAAAGTCAGATGATAGTCATCTGGGCTGCTTCCTTATATTGGATGTATCTTGAATCATTCCATTGTCTACTTTTCTGTTATTCTTGGTGAAAGTTAATAAAAGTTTTAATTAATTGTATCTGTTTATGGCCTAACTGTGCCCCTGAAAGAAAATTACTTTCAGGAAAATTGTGTGCACCAGTATAAAGAAAGAGAAGTGTACGTGTGACTTACTCTCTCACTGCTTCAAACACACATAAATGTAACTTGACAATTTTCTGTTTTTTTAGATTCGAGTGGGTTTCAGCTCCTTGAAGGCAAGGGCAGTGATTTACTCATTAGTTACCCAGCACTTGGGAGGAACTCATTAAATGACTGTAGGATAACTGAAGGAAAAATAGAAAATACATTATAATGTTCACCTATGTAAAACAGGAGGTCTGTTACCATCTGGCCTTCCAGGGCCTTCCTTACTGTGAAGCAAATGAAATTACCTTCGCTGACCTGCTTGTCAGCATAGACACATGAAGGGCTGTGCTGCAGGCAGCTGTGGGTACTGTGTCCATATTGTTCTTGGTCATGGTCCAATTTCAGCACAGTCCTGAATCTCAAAATGGGGTCATTTAAATCTGCCAATACAGTCTAAGGCCTTCCAGGGAGAAAGCACCCAAACTGGACTTCCTTGCACGTGTTCAGCCTAGCATCTCTGTACAACAGTACAAGTTAATGGAAGATGTGTGCTTCACAGCTGCTCGTGACAGCGTCTAGAAGAGCCCGGAAGCACCCTCCAAAGTCCCCTTGAGTTTGTAATCATGGTACAGAAAGCTGGTGGAAGTCCCAGTGCTCGGCTCCTCAAAAGCAAAAACCAGATACAGACATAAGTACAGTGAAAGCGCAACACCAGGACTGGGAAAGCCAACTCCTTCTCTTTTTAATTGAGGAAAGTCAGCACCTTCTTCACTTTATGTCTATTTTAGGAGAGAAAAAAAGATACTATATACTAAAGTTGTTTTAATTGCCTTCCAAAGTGTTCATAATCTGACAAGAGTTTCTTTTAAACACCTTAAAAGTAGAGTCAAGACTCCTTAGAACATCATCATATTGAAAAACCTTTCAATAAAAAAGACCATTATTTCTCATGATAGGCCTGGTATTCAGTTCTATGGATGGCATTTAAAGCCTCTGAAATTAGCAAACACACACACGTGTATTTTTAAACTACTGTTTAATCAGTCTTAAAGACACACAAATTAGAAAAAAAAACATTTATATGTAAGTTAAAAACATCTTTAAAACCCAGCAATAAGCCACTAGTGCAGCTCTGAGGACAGACACTAGAAATGAGTGGTTATGAAATTATCACATCACAGTGTAACTGACACAGTGGTAGTTTAAATTCACCATACAACAAGAACTAATTTATGGATCTGTTGAAAAATAACACTTCTTTAAAAAAATATTTTGGAATAATAAAAACAAAAAGCACAGACCACCACATTCTATTCTCACCCAGGGAAGGCAAATGAGGACTGTCAATACTGGCTGCCGGCGCTGGCAAATGAGGACTGTCAATACTGGCTGCTGGCGCTGGACCCTCCTCACGTTTGGGTAACGATGCTCAACCACTCCTAGGCAGAGATCGAGAGAGAACTTCGAAAGGAAGGCAGGAATGAAATCACACACTTCCACTCGGTATGCAGAAGGGTTTTTCTTGCTTCATCTGAATTAGTCTTACTTTCACTCTTATTGCTCTATGTAGTGCATCTTCTTGTTCGGCGAGGCAGTTGCATACGGGTGCCGGAAGATGGAGACGACTGTTTGGAACACATTTGTGTTGGATGTTTGTTTCTTCTCTCCTTGTGATAGAAACTCAGGAGCAAATGAACTTCACTGACGAATTCATATACACAGAACCAAAAATACTTAAAATTGGGAAAGAGGCATATTTTAAAAGTCTGTCAAACTCTTTACACGTGTTTGTCCTTTAGCAGGAAAGGATTAAAAGGAATATTAACAAACCAATTTCTCAAAGAAGTTTTCCCAAAATAGAGACTGGGCAGGATACAGTCATTCACGACTCCAGTAAAAGGCAGTTGGTCACTTTTTCCATTTCAAACACGTTATTAAGAAAACAGCTAGTCAGTCATTCTACTGATGTTGCTCTGTAACTTTGGGTTTTTCATTCTATTTCCATTTCTTTTTATAGTAGCAAAATTTGATAAAAACATGACTGGACAGACGGCTATGCATCACTGAGAAAGCTTTAGACTGGTTTACGTGGATCTTTATCCTATTATTTATAGAACATATAGTCTTGGGGGTTTGTTTTGTTTTTTTGCTTTATAAACGGCACACTAGAAGAAACAGCAAACAGTTGCTTAACGATGGAGATACGTTCCGAGAGGTACATTATTAGGCGATTTTGTCATTGTGGGAACACCATCGAGTGCACTTACACAAACCTAGGGATAGCCTCCTACAAACCTAGGCTGTATGGCACTAATCTTATGGAACCACGGTCGTACATGTGGTCTGCCCTTGATGAAACGTCGTTATGTGGCGCATGACTGTAGTTATAAGCAGTTTTAAAGGCAAGACAAATTAGTCAGCACAAAAATGTGTCTTTAGACTCCGTTTCAGATCAATGACCTATAGAGCTTGTCAGTTCTTTACAGGGGTTTGCATAATGTTAAAAACCTATTAAAATAAATATTTTAAAACATATAAAAACATTATTAAACAGCCCACCAATTAAAATGTAATTGGCTACATCCTCTGTACAACAAGAGCCTCAAAAAGCAGCTTAGTCCTGGATTATAAGAGCATTCCTACAAAATACCAACGTGGAAAATTTCATTTTAAATTTTACTCTGCGATGAGAGTTACTATGAATAGATCTGACTACCTGGTGCTGCAGAAAAACACTGTAGACACCCTCTCTACATTCCAATCTTTCAAATCCAAATTTCAGAGTGGAATTTCTTTTTTTAAATGCAAATCTTTCCCCTCAGGTGCACTGATACAAACCCACTTTTGCAAGGAAGAGCTGTGGAAAGCAGAACTTTCAGCATCTCAGATAAGTATGGAAACGATCAGCCATTCATTAAATGCACACTGGGCAGTGTAACAGTTTCAGAAAGTCCTGCAGGGCAGTGGAGATCACATTTCACAGTGTTAGTCAGAATTCTGCACCTATGTTAAATCTGATATATTCAATTTCAGCCAGGATGGACTATTAGTGGCTGAAGAAAACTCCACAAAATACTGGTTTGTATCTAAAACTCTGGACAAATCTTTCACTGACACAGCAACAGGCATCATTCTGAAACAATTATTCTCTCAAGTAATTTTTTCTTTCAATTACAATGTAGAACTCTTAAAACCAATAACTAGTAATTCTGAACGATTTATAATAAGGAGGAAACAAAAAAGTATAAATGTCCAGAGTTATTCATGAATATAAAAATTAAAATTTACAAGGTATGAATTTTAAATAGGAAAGATTTTTGTCCTAAGTAATCTAGTCCTTGAATAAAAGTCTAAATTTTGTAATTATTTTAATGGCAAAAATTTTAAGTAATTTTTTCTATAGTTTAAAATAGGTATAATTAAGTTAAATATGCTTTAAATATCTTTGAATAAAATAATATTTGAGAACTTACATGGTGGTAAACCCTGCCCAGTGAAGTTGGTAATTTGCATAAAGTATTTTTTAGCATATATCTTCTTCAGTTTTACATAGTACAAACAGAAACCGAAAAAGCAAAGAAGGTAAAAGGAAAATATATTTTCTTCAGCAGAGACAATTTCATTAGGAAAGACTCATGTTAGGGGCTATCTTCAGTAGAAATGGTGTGCTGCCACGCCTTCTGGTTTATGGATTGAAAAGTTTTCCTTCTTCTGTTGCTATGAACATCTTCTGAAACGTCAGGACTTCGAGCTCAAGTAATAAAAGTAAATGGCCATGACAACAGTCCCGGTTGTGAACCCGCCCTTGTCTGTGACTCTTACGGATCTTGCTGAGGCTTCCACTCATTACAAACACAGCTGGGCACAAACGTTCAGAACCGACCCTTTGGGCTTCTTAAGGAACTTTCCTCTAGAGGACATAAGCTCATTGATGACTGAGCCAGATGAAGACCCAGGTCTCGTCCCAGGACAATCAGTGCTTCAACCTAAGTTAACGTCACTTTTTAGAACCATTCTCTTCACTGCAAGTTTTTCTCAAAACTGGTATCTGGAAATTCTGTATGCGCATGTCACACATGGCAGGGATCAGTAACAAAAATACTTTTTACCCCAAAGTATGGTGGCCACGTAAATGGTGGAAGGACATTTTTGAAGCCAAATAAACCTTCTCTATTATTCTAGACATTTTAGAAGCTAAATAAATTTCCCCGGTTATCCTGAGTTCCAATAAAAATGCTTATTTTAAAACCCGAGACTAAGCCACCTGTGAAATGGTGACAGCTGAGACACATCAAATTAAACTGTTACCGTTTCAAGAAAATGAAGTTGAGGGAAGAATAATTATTTTCGTTCATTGTTTCCCTGAGTAGTATAATAATTAACCAAAAGTATAAATATGATGTTGACTGATCATCTCTGGAGTGGTTTCAGGACAACTGGAGAGTGGAGAAATAATACACATATGCACTGAATCCTATTCTGTTGATTAAGAAGGAAGCACTCCCTTACACTTACCAGTAGTAGAGATAAACCACTTTTCAACTCTTCTACTGTAAGTATTAGTATTAATCCTTAAACACTCCAGGTAGATATATTCACTTTATAGAGCACAAAAAGTTTTTTCTTGAGGAGAAAAGTCAAGCTGAAAATTAGAATTATTTCTTTAGTTTTTCTTCTAGATTGCATACCTGTGATTATAATTTCTCCAAAATTAGAGAAAAGCTATCCAAAAACCACTTCATACAAAAAACAAGTTATCCAGGGGGATGAAAATCAGTCAAACTGTATATATAATGTATTATCTTCAAAGTAACGGAGAATTCATCAATCATGTTGCTTTCTGGATGGTAGTGCTATGATTATGTTCACTGAGCAAGAAATAGACAACAGTGATTTTAGAGTTACAGGCTGAGAAATAAAATACAGTCAGGTAATAGAAATAAATGGTGATTATTTGTAAATGGTTAGATAGGCTGAACAAAAAGAAAGTTTTTATTAAGCTTTCTTGTTTTCCCTTACGACATGCCTAGACTTGTCTTTTAAATTCTAAATTTGTTTACTTTTCCTTAATAGTGATCAGATTCTCTGCAGCATTAATTAAACTGAGGAGACATTTTGGGGGCCTGATACTTTCCATGATTACTCTTTTCTATCCTCTCACATTACAGAACTAGCCTAATTTCGGCATAGGAGAAAATAGAGAAAATTTATTTAGCTCTCTATCTTTTCCTGGGAGAGAACAGGGCAAGACTAACTCATCAGGTGGAAAAAATTTACCTTCAGAAAAAAACATTTCATATAAACAAAGACTAGGATATTTCCAAAGTTCTAAAAAGATACGTTGACATTTTTGCTGATGAAGATCTCAAAAGTTCCAAGTCCATGTGCTTTTCTCATCTTGAAATGAAATATCACATAGCTTAAGCCAGATAGTTGTTCTGTCCTTAACTTCATTTGCAAATTTATTAATGACAAAAATTTTAAGAAAAGAGACTCACCACAGACAATTTGCATTTCATTAAAAAATTTAAGGCAAAAAAAATGAATTCCATAAAAGACTGATCAAACAAAGGTGAAGCCAGAAGGCCCTGCCCGTCCGTCACTCTCACGGTCCGTGATTTATGACCTGTGGCCAGGCTAGCCTCACATCCCACACCCCACACTTCTGCTTTTGGCTATTGCAGCCATTACACGACTCTGCGGGATTAAAGGAGATACTTGCTAATACAAGGCGAGATTATGATGAAAAATGGTCCATAAGACAAAAGCACATTTTTCTACTTACAGAATCTAAAATTCATTAACAAGAGTTAAGAGCAGAATTTTAATGGGAGAAGAGCTTGGAAACTAATTTATATTCTCTAAAAATGTGGTTCAAACCCAATGACTTTAAGTTCTCATTTCCCTAAAACTTACTCAAATTTGAATTAAACTGTCACGGATAAGAAAGTGATTAGCTAGACAGTAACCCTGCTCAGTGATTTCTCTTTCAAAACCTTCAAGCAATCTACCACTATTATTTTCATAATCCTTTTATAATTCCATATAATTTATGCTTGATAAATTTCATTTAAACATCCAACATATTAAAAAGTTATTAAACTTTTATGTCTTACATAATCACAAAGAGCTCAGATAAATAAGGGTGGAAAGCATTCCTGCTGAGCACCTGGTCCCTGCACTGTGCACCTGTGCCCTGTGACGGCTGCCACTGGCTCTGGCCCCAGGTCACACAGTGCTCTCTTCATTCATGCCTTCCTTCCTTCCTTTCTTTGTCGTCATCTTTTTCGCTCTCTTTATAAGAAAATAAGCTTAAAGTATCAAATCGCCAACCTTTAATTATGTTTAAGAAATTCTTCCTTGAAGGGCTCTCTGACTGACACAAGGTAATTAACCTCTCCAGGAAAATCAGCTATCTATAATTTGGCATCCATTCCTGTTTACACTTTCACTATGTACTGTAGTCATCTGAGATACTTTAAAAAACCCTTCAAATACTGAGATGTTTATTGCATTTTTAAACTATCCACAATCTTAAATATCCTGTTTCAAATTCCTCCAGAATTCCTTTATAGCACACAATATCAAATACTGAAATAGTGCCCTCACAATATTACACTTGAAAATACCATTTAGGAACAATATTTTAGGAAATAGAGGGTTTAAGGCAAGACATTCATTTGGAAAAGTTAATTTCTCTCAATCACCCAGATTGACACAATTATTTTTCCACCTCTTCAGTGCCTTGGGATTCGCAACATACATTCAGCAACAGGGCACACGTGATCCTGTGGACATATGCTGAGGTCCTGAGTGCCCATGGAAATAATGAAAATATTTTATATAAGGCGTGGCCCATAGGGACATGGCATGGGAGGGGCTCTTTACTCCATTTCCAATCTGGTACACAGGAGATTCCCTATTTATAACTGTCCAATTCCCCCAAATTAATCTCTTTTCAAATAAACACAAACCCCTTGAAAAGGTGCTAAGATTGGTTTCTGTTAACATACAAAAAACAGCTGTCAGAGTATTTTCCACATCGTTGCTTTCAAGATGAATGTCTGGAGGCCATTTCTTGATTCTGATTGCAAACATTGTTTGTTGTATAAAAGCTATTCTGTTCCAAAGAATTTTCTCCTTCATCAAACTTTTTGGATTGTGACAGCCAAATATCTTCATGTCTGTTCTTTCCTCTTTGAGTTTTTTTCGACGGCAACAACAACAACACTAAGATACCAACAATGTGAAGGCAGTAATACCAGGAGCTAAAAGAAAAAGAAAAAAGTTTCCTTTATTAAATTTTTTATAATGAACAATCTTTAGTAACTGCACACTTGTCAAAATGTCACACGCCCCACTTCGGATCAGTACATTCCTCCATTATTCTCTTATTCCTGCTCCCCCATGAGATGGCAAGCTGCAGTGCATGCCAGTGGGTATTTATAAAGCAGGGTATAACCCAGCCTGCTTATGAGCATGATACTGCGTATCACATTACATTCCTCTGTGAGGGTTCATAAGGTCACGGCTAAACAGAACAGAAAGGTACTTCTTAGTAGCTGCAGCAATCTGAAAATAATCTCTCAAATCCACAGAATTACATGTTGAGCAAACAAAGAACGCAGTGAGAGTGAAGACTTGTGCTACCCTGGCTCCCCTACTACTCACAACTATTCCAACGACACGAGAAACAGAGAGGCAATATTGCTCCACGGTTACTGCCACGAAATAAAGAGGGGTCACGCTATGAAAAACATTATTAGAAGTCTCATTTCCCAAATTAACTAGAAACCAAAAGTGACCTAAACTGTTTCTACAGCTGCAAGTTCAAGTGACTGCGAGCAAAGTGCCTGGGACAGAAAATCTAACCAACAGCTCGATCACATTTAAAAATAGGTAACAATCTTGTTCAAATGGAAATTTTAGCAGGAGTTACTTAAGGTCTTCCTGTATGATAATCGTCATATTCAGTTCAACAATTTTGTGACCATATACTCTGTGCCATCATTCTAAATGCTAGGGTAACGAGGAATTTATGAAAGAATAAAGTTTCTGATCTCAAAGATACCCCTACTCTAATATGGGGGGAGTGGAATTTGGTGGGGGAGGGAGAGGAGATAAACAGATAAAATATGAAATTCAAGACAATTTCTATAACATAAAGATGACAAACAACCAATGAAACATTCAAGAGTGAAAAGGAAACCAATAAATGAAACATAAGTAATTTACTTCTTTTGATTAAAGAAATTAAGAGAATTGATAATTACTTGTAAAGAATAAGCTACACTTTCTTTTTTTTAAAACTGCTTCGTCACGTTCTTTGTTGTCCATCTTATTTAAAGTTTCTCTCTCCTTTTCAGAGTCCACAGACTTCACCCAGAGCTGCTTGATTATCAGAAGGTATCTTTTACTTCTGCTCCCAAAATATCTCCTCTTAAGCTTAACCTCCTACACCTTGACTCAAGAGCAGCAGTGAGTAAACTACAGCCGGCAGGCCCAATGTAACCTGATGTTTCTCTTTTTCAATTAAGATGTAATTGACATATAACATTACATTAGTTTTAGGTTTGCAACACAATGATTTGCGATATGTATACACTGTGAAATGATCACCATGATAAAAGTCTAGTTAACATCCAAGTGTAGAAAGAACAGAGACACTTTCTAGCTAAATCTTTGAGAGATTTGAGGCAGTGGTTACGCAGCTGATATTTCTCTAAACCACACTCTCTTCTGAGGGCTGAGCGGTGTGAATCATTCCATAAAAAAACTTGAGACTGCTTGGTTTAAGATTAAAAAATAAGTGAAAATGCATTTAACTGCAAGAAATAAGGCTATGGTACTATTTTTCTATTCTGCCCAATAGCAAAGAGCTTTCTCTTAAAAATAAAGTTATTCCCACTGGCACATTTTTAAGGGTAACACTTACCTGTAAAACATGAATGATGGTTTTATAGAAAGAAGTACAAAGGGCACAACTGTGTAACTTATTGCTATTTGAGTTACTATCCATGTTACAACATCATACAATAATTTAACTTGGGGAGGTTCAACGAAATAATGTCTGAAGTTACTTCTCATCTGAAACAAAGAAACAAAAATATTTGCTTTATCTTTATTATTGCTTAAAAATTACACCGACTACATTACCTGTTTCAAGGATGTGGCATAACTGCAACTTCCATACACTGCTGGTGGGAGTCTGCCACTGTGGGGAAAGCTAGTTCAAAAGAACTCACGCGTATGTATAAGAAACATGGAGGGAGTGTGATGAAGCACACAGCAGTGTGTAGATCTGGGTCAAGGGCATATAGGAGTTCTTTTCAACTTTTCCGTAGATTTGAAGTTTTATTAAAATTAAAAGTTTCCCCCAAAAGTTAAAAATAACACTGCCTAGAGCTCCCTAAATCATAATTGGTAAACTACAGTATACAAATGAAGCTCAATCTACTTTGAAATTTTTCTACTACTACGAAATGAGACATCCTTCTTCTTCTTTAACTTGTGATTTATGAAAGACAAATACATGTTATACACTGAGCTAGGTCAAATGGCACTTATTAAATAAACGGCAACTGTACATATTATTCATTCTTTAATGGAAGCTGGGAAGAGCTTCTCAAAAGATGTCTTCTAATAACCACTATTTTAATATTTTTTTTAGCTTCTAAGAAAGTCAAAACATTTCAGTTTTGAAATGTGCAAACTTAACCAAACATTATTTTCTTTTTTCTACTGTTTCCCGCTCTTCCTGTCTAGTCTGTTTATAGGTGAAACATGGCCCTGCCATGAGGATGCCACATGAATTTTTCAGAGGTGATCTGGTGTATGGTTAATGGCTCTTCCATACAGAGACCATCACTCTTAGTGACCAGAACCGAAACCCGGCTCCTACCGCTTCTTGCCTAGCTCACCGCAGCAGCTCCCCACTCTCCCTTCCATTCTGTCCACCAATGGCGAATCAATTTCCCTGAGGCACGGTTTTCAGCATTCCATAAGCATGCTTACAAGCCTGACCTGTCGGCCTGACACGCAGAAGAGTAAGGATTAGGCTCTTCCCCAGCGCGGTCAAGTTCTTCTATCACTGCCCTACTTCCCTCCAGCCCACCCCCCCGCCTTTCCATAATTCGTCACTATTTACGCACACACGAAGCCTCTGCTTCAACTAGATTTACTTGTCATTCCTAAATACGCCATGCACTTTCAAACCTGGTTTTGCGAACGTCATTTCCATGCCTAGAACATAGTTTTCTCCCCCCATTACACTTTACTCATTATTACAACTTTCATCTTTCAAAGCCCAAATCCAACCACAGTTTCCTAATGAGGCCACCTCTAGTCAACTCAACCAAAAGGGATTTCTTTCATCTCTCAACATCTATGCTACTTACCATCCATAAAATCCGTGGAACGTATCATATATGCCTTGTGGTGTATGTATACACCCACACGTACACATATCCATACACCTTATGCCCCTAATTAGACTACAAGCTACCAGAAGGGATAGCCCTTAGTTAATACTTCTTGGTATTTGCCTCATACATCCCCAAGGTATCTTAAAATTGAATACAGTAAATATTTGCTAGTTTGTTAAATGAAGCCATCTCACCTGTCAGTGTCATAATAAGCTTGCTCAAACACCATTTTTGTCAGGTCACTTTCCTCTGATTGACTTTTGAGAACTTAACACTAAATTGTCCTCCTTCTTTGACCACTCATGTCACCAACTTACTTTCTCAATTGTTTCCCAAAATATTACTCCAGGTCCCAACCAAGCAGACACTCTACAGAGTATCCCCTTTATCTAGGCCTATCCATAGTCCACTCTTCATCTAAAAGAGGACTCAACGGCTATAGCCTTCAGGCAACATTTCTAAAATAAACCTACCTGTCTGATCATCTTTATTTAACTCAGTTTTTAGCTCTCTTTCAGAAAATTCTGTAAAGACAATGAACACTTTGTGGGTGCCTCCTGTGTGCCAGGTCTTCTCCTCACATGAACCAAGTGTGGAGCCATTAGGAGCACTCAACAAACATGCCAGGCACACACCTCACTTCCAGCCAGAGTGGAGGGCTGACCAGGGCCAAGGAAATAAGGTCTGCCACATAAAAGGGTTCCTCACCCTTTTCTACCAGTTCAAGTGGACTACCAACAAAGTATAAAACGAAATTCTTGATACTTACAGCTCTCGCTGCTAATGTCATCAACACTCCTGTTAGGAATGTCAGGTAATATCCTGGGTACACCCCATGCCAAATGGCAGAGAGAATAAATGTCTGGATAGTTGGACTCAAGGAGGCTCGTTCATAACACACCCTAGAAACCAGAGAGAGCAAAGAGGAGTGAGGGATTAGAGTTTATAAAGCCCACAATCGTCATTCTATTACTACCTGACAGGATAACCACAAGTTATCTTAGGCAATAAGTTGATCTGCAACTATGGGGAGGTTATAGCTATTGTCAAATTCAAGAAAATAAATTTAATTTCTATCTTCTTACTGGTATATGTCATAGCTAAAATGATCATTTCTAGTGTTTCGGAATCTATGCTATTTACAAAAATAAACTTTAATATTAAAGTTATTTTTATTTTATATTATTTTAAGATAAAGAACTTTCAACTGATCTAACCACATTATTCTTTCTGGCAAGTAGGCTGGGTTTAGTCTAAAGTTTTCCTGTAAGAGGGTAGAGAACTCGAAAATAAGATTTTCCCAAGGTACCAGATATAAAATATACAACAACAAACAAAATACACAACAACAACAAAAGTAACACAACAGATTAGCTCAGAAAATGTGCAGCCATTGGGGAGACTGCATGGCACCAGGACATGATGATAACGTATTTTGGATATCTCAACAGATAAAGATGTTCAACTTGTCATACGATAAAGGACATTATAAAAGAAGGCGGCTTCACACACAATGGTGCTGAGAGCCCTATCGTTACAGCGGCAATACTTCATGCAATAAGATCAAGAGAGGGCAGTGTGTCTCCCTGAGAACAAGGAGAAGAATCACTGGAGTTTCTGTGCAATTTCCTAACTTCGTCTTTTGTCAGTGTCCCTCTGCCTGGGCAGCCTTTACCGTCCCCGTGTCCATCTGACAGACTCCCAACCACAAAGCTCAGTGTGAGCACCTCTTCCCTCTGTGCCCTCTCTGCTCCTGCTCACGCTCTCTTATCACCCTCACTACAGGGAACAGTGTGTGTAGATTCACTGCTGTGCTTTTAACAAGATTGTGAACTGTCTGACTGCAGAGCTGGGTCTTTTTCTCTTATTCATCTTTGTATGCTGCGCCTAACATACAAAGATCTGTTGAATTGAAATATTTTAAAACTGGAACTGTTCTGGAAAATCTAGGGCATATGTATACAGGTTGTATAGTCACTTTGTTTAACCAAATCAATGCATGAGAGCAGAGGATACTGCTGATCCCAGGCCTTGGTAGAGGCCCTTAACGATGGGCTGAGAAGTCAGTGACAGCTACATTTATGACAAGCCAAAACAGTCTTCAGATGTGATAGGACCTTGTTTCAGAGGATGTTCACAGTGTTTCCTGGGTAACACCAAGGTCACAATGTGACTCAACACACTGTTAATCAACAATCTGAACTCAGTGAAGCTCAACCTCCAGTACTAGATGCCAAAGTACAGCTAACGATTGTTCCTGAAGGAACATACCTTTTGAGCCAAAGAGCTGTCTGAATATTCCAATTATCAAGAAACATCTTGAAACTTGTTGACATCTGAAAAACAAAGAAACTTTTTTCTTTGGCCAACAAAATAATGAAGCTCTAAATATAAGTAATAACATTTCCTTGTGCTAAAAATAAATTACTTGACAATGATGGCAGTGTACTGATTTCTCACCTTAATATTGTTTTTCTAATACAGTGACATCATTCATAAAAGGAGTTTGTTTATTGTAGGGACATCTACGAGGTAAATGGATTATCACCATTTTCTCTTACACGTTAATATTTACAGAAGTTGTTGTGGAATTATCCCAAAGAAGTTCCTGACAGAGTATGAAAATGACCTTTCAATGACTTTCACTGGGGACTGGACGCCCCATCAAGCTGCAGTCTCTCAGTTCCCTCGCCTTCAGCCTCTTCAGCTGCCCTTCCCTAGCAATTTGGGATCCCGGCCCCACCTGGAACTGCTGCCTCTGAAAGAGCCGACATGCACACCACCCTCCTGCCTTCCCAGCCTCCCCACTCAAGCTCTTTGCACTCAAGCTACCTTTGACTTCAGAGGCAACCTCTGATCTCCTGGCCTCTACTTCTTCCCTATGTAACTCTCTCCTTCTCTGTCTTCTTTTCCTCTCACCATTTTAGATTCTGTGGTCCATTATTTACTACTCTTGTCAAAATCTGAGGATGAAAACTGGTTCTTATGGGGCAAAAAAAATCTTACTCTTTTTATGTATAAAAGCACATATATACATATAGTACACAGATACACAGTATATTGTATACTGTGGTATTAAAATTTCATGGGGGGATTAGGAAAAAAAAAGTCTCAAAAGGCTCCTTAGGGTAGCAATAATGAACAAAAGGTTAGAAACACTGCCACATACTCATCACCCAATTTCCACAACTATCAAATTTTCCCTCCCTTCTCCATTTTTATCACTGACATTGTTAAGAGTATTTCAAAGCAAATACCAGACATCTTATTTCACCTGCAAATAGTTCACACTTTATGTCCAATAACTAAAGACTTTTAAAAAACCATGATCAGACCTAACAAAATTAACAATTCCTCAACAACATCCAATACCCATTTTGTAGTCAAATATCCCTGATTGATTAAAAACATGTTTTTCCAGTTGGCCTGTTCAATTTGGATCCAAACAAGGTTCACACGGTGCATGTGACTGAAGTGTCTTTTAATCTGTAACAGCCCCTATCTGTCCCCACTTCTCCCATGCCATCTATTTGTTGGGAAAAATTGGGTCATCTGTCCTACAGTTTCCCACTTCTGGATCTGGGTTTAACTTACTTCTCTATACTCCATATTCCCTCTAAATTTAGAAAGATCTAGAGACCTGACCAGGTTTAAGTATCTTGGTCAGACTACCTGAGAGATGGTTTGGTAGTTCCGAGGGCACTACATCCACATGCACTTACTTTCCGGCTGTCCCACGTCAGTGATGCTGAGGCGCGGTGGGGGCTCGAGCCTCATGCCTTCATTATAAAGGTCCCTGTCAACCTTTCACCCAAAGTTTTGGTAATTCCTCCTATTTGAAACAATCGTTTCAGAGGCTTGCAAAGCAAGGTCCGCTCTCCCCTCTCTGGTCACTCCTTCTGCACTGCCTTCCTTGGCCCAGTCTAAGTATGGTGGTCCTTCGGGGCTCTCATTTCTTATTCTCTCACGGGTCTCTCATGGCTACTCTTGTGGTCTCTCCCAAAACTTGAAATGCTACATGCTGATAGTTCCCAAATTATTGTCTCAAGCTCCGATGTTTCAGCCAGTATCTGATCATTCACTGGCCTGCTGGACAACTCGCTTAAGTCTGAAATGTGAACACATTATTTTTCCCTCCAAACCTGTGCCTATTCTTTGTTCCTTATCTCAGTGAAAGGCATCACCACAAGCCCAGTCATTTAAATCAGACAGCTGGGCATGACTCATAACTCATTCTCTCTTGCTGATTCCAATGGATCACTAAGTTCTGCTGCATCTCTTAACAGCTCTTCAACGTGTTTGTTTTTCGAGTCCCACTGTCACTACCCTGATTTAGGTCACCATCATCTTGGATTAACACGACACCCTCCTAACAGATCACTCTGGCTCATGAGGGCAACACATTCTACTTGATGTAGCCAGATTCTTCTAAAACACATATACAATCATCTCACTTGCCTGCATACAACCCATCCACAATGTCCTGTAGGGGAGGAAGACTTTTCCTCTATCCAAAGTGGGTTCGTCTGGCCAGAGAACGAACCAAATTCACATGAGACAGAATAGCAAGAGAAAATTAAACAAAGCTTTATGAGAAACCATGGCCCGGGGCCTTTTGTCCCGAAGGAAGAAAGGGCACCGAAGAAGTGGGGTGCACAGAATGGTTATATACCCCCAAACAGGGTGTTTCACATGTGATTGAAATGTCCCTCCCACAATAGTCACAAGATTGCCCTGTTAGCACAGCGCTTGATGGACACAGCAGGTAGTGGTCGGCTATCTCGGTGGGTGTAGCAGGAGGTAATTCTATTGTCTGGAGCTGGGTGGTCACAAGTGAGCACAGGAATCAGTTCCTAGCCTAAGGAAAGATGCTTAATCCTTAAAGAAATGCCAACGTTGGGAGGGGGAGGGAAGTCAGTTACAGGAGGTTACCAGACAAGCACAATAAAATGCAGATTTAAATCCTTGCCTTTGGCATTGATTAAGAGTTTCCAGAGAGAAGGTCATCTCTCTTCTTCTTTCTGGTACAGAGAGGGAGGCACCTTTACACAGAGATTTACCTTACAAATGTAAATGTGTCCTAACAAAGGGCAAGTTCCATTCCTCAGAGCCTCCTTCCCTGTCCCAGTTTATCAAAAGCAATCAGCCTCAAATAATCCTGATGCCAAAGAGACATATCTTGGGGTGGCCAATTTCAGGTCCCCACAGCCCCCTTGCTCTTATAATAGAGTTCAAAACTCTTAATACGGCCTCTAAGACTGGGCTTGACCTGGCCTCTACTTCTCCAGCTTCATCTGACACCACTCCCTACGCCATGAACCAAAGTGAGCCACACACTTTCCCACTTCCTCAGGCTGCTCCCCCTCTCCCTGGGGTGCCTGGCTCACTCCTACTTAGCATTTAGGACTCAGCTTAAGACATTATTTCCTTAGGACCCCTTCCCTGAGCCATCTCATCTCAGCTAGATTCCTATTTATAAACATGCACACATCCCACCACTCTGATCATAACCCATCTTTCTGTAGCCCTGTGACCACCCCCAGATTAAAGCCCCAAGAGGGCCCAGGTCCTAGGGATCTTCTTCTCTGGATTCCCCGTGTGTGAGGCATGCAGTTGCTGCCCAATAAATACTGGCTGAATGGAAGAATGAGTATCATTAAAAATCCCTCAATGCCACTCTTGGGACAACACATCCCAACCTATGAAAGCAGTTACGGTCCCTAAACTATCCTATGGTAACTAATTTCTTGATGAGTCACTAACCTCTATTTGCTGAATTCTCAAATTGGAAATTAAGTCCCAACGAGCTGCTCCATTTTCATCATATCCTCTGAAACCAAAGCCTGCAGCATTATTAATAGCATCAGCTGTAGTAAACAAAGGGAAAAAAATTATTAACCTATGTAACAGTCTACCATGTTCTCCCAGAGGATGTATGTTATATTCTATGATCTTTTATTCTTAAACAATAAAAGTAGATTTACTCTCATTTTTATCTGATATTATAATAAAACAGATCTTGATCCAGTTTTTATGATGTCCTAACAGTTTTTAGGATATATCCTTATATTTAGGATATAGGCTGTATAGTTTGTTTCTCTGACAAGACTCTGACTCTTCTAATGGGTCTTTAACTACACTTCCTCAAGAGGGCACTTTGCTGGCTATCTATAGGTAAGATACACCTCCACACAGTAACAGAAAAGTCCATTCACATGTTACTCACCCAATGTCCATGCAAAATAGTATTTGGGTCTGGCAGCCAAAAGAGAGACATATAGATAGACAACCTTTGTCGGCCATGAAGCCGTAGCCTGAAAATGTTCATCGATGTTATACTCCACAGGCAATGTTTTAGAGATGGTCAAGTGAAATAATAAGGAAAGTCCACAGACTAAGAGCTTCTGAATAACTGCGATCTGAAAGCATAAGACAAGCCTTCATAAACTTAATCCATACTCCTGTTAATTCATTTTACATATTATTGCCAGATTAATCTTCCCAAATGAAGCATTAACCCTATAACTCTCCTGGTCAAAAATCATAAACTACGCTGTGCTCAGCATTTAAAGCCCTTCATGGTCTCAGCATAAACATTTCCAGCCTTATCTCTAACTACACCTCTGGGTTATGGCTCAAATCACACTAGAATCCTCAACATGCATTTTCAGAACTTTCAGTAAATTAAAAAAATCAAAAAGCAAACAGGTGTACAGGTATGACTACACAAAAATGTTAACATTAATAACTTTTGGTAGCGGATTCTGTATGATTATACACAGACACACATACACACACAGAGCTTATTTTTTCCACTGTGCCTTTTCTATATTTTCCAAATTCTAGGTATCTCATGGACATTATTTTTATAACAAACAACTTAAACATTTCTTTAAATCTGAAAGTTTTTAATGCAACTTTGTTCAAGAATAATATAACCAAAAGAGCTACACACTTGAGAAAACTAAAAGATGTGCATGAAAGACTCTGATGGAAAGAAAAGGTCATTCTTTACTATATTCTGGTATGGTGAAATCACCTTGAAAGAACCAGACTCATGATGTTTTTCTATTCCTAGCAGGCCAGAATATTTCGATCTGCTTCAATATAAAGGAGATTATACAGGATACAAAGGGAAAGAAACAAGCAGAAGAAGAAAGGAAAGGCTGGATCCAGAGGAAGGAATGTAACAAAATACTGGGATTCAGAGTGCCCTGCAGAGTAATCAAATAATGTTCAAATTAACTAAAGCAATCTGCAGATGACCATCCACATCTGCACCCTTTCTGTAACAGTGCCAGAAGAACGGCTCCAAGGCAGGAGGGAAAGCACACATCCGATTCACGGCCTGTCTGAAAAGCCCCCTTGCCGTCTCGGCCTGCCCCGGCTAGGGAGTGCTGAAGGCTCACGGACTCTGGGCTGCAGCTGTTCTGTCTCCTTTTCCTGGTTGTCTTTCAAAGCTTTCTCCACCCCTCATCGAAATATCTAACCAATATATGTGAACAGAAAGAGATCTTACAACAGGCAATTAGAGAAAAGTTGTAATTATAAACGAAGTGAGATGAAATGAATGGCCTCTTACATTAATCTACAAGTTGCATGTATCATCTTAGTAACATAATGAGAAATACTGTGGTCCTTAGATGATATATACAAGTTTCCAGGTCTCAGTTAAAAAAAAAATTAAAGTAACATGCACCTGATCTCAACTGCCAGGTGGGGCACACACCAATCAGAACCCCAAGCCTCACAGAAAGCAGGATCAGGTACCTCGGGAGGCGAGAGTGAGGGGCCTAACACTGGGAAGCCAGGTGCAACCCCCCAGTTCCCACAGCCTCCCTGCTTAGTAAGGTGACACCCCTCCACCATTCTAGCAGGAGACCAGAAGTTAATTCTCAGAGAAGCTCAACCAGAGAAGAGCCAGGCTTAGGGACACGGGTCCAGAGAGGGGGCCGGTTAAGTGCTGGAATGAAAACGTGGAGACTGTGGAGGAAGTCTGCATCCTGAGAGGAGAAATCCTCAGCTCCCTCGCCCTGCCCACCTCCAGAGACCAGCAGTCAAGTCTGCCTACTCCAGGCAGAAGACTGGAGGATCCTTCACTCAAGAAATCACACAGGCTGGCCCGGTGGCATGGTGGTTAAGTTCAAGTGCTCTGCTTTGGTGGCCTGGGGTTCCATAGGTTTAGATCCCAGGTGCAGACCTATGCACCACTCATCAAGCCATGCTGTGGTGGCATCACACATACGAAATAGAGGAAGAGTGCCACAGATGTTAGCTTGCTGACAGTGTTCCTCAAGGAAAAAGAGAAAGATTGGCAACAGATGTTAGCTCATGGCCAATCTTCCTCACCAGAAGAAAAGAAAAGAAAAGAAAGAAACAAACAATCTCAAGAAAAGACTTATAGACATCATGGCAGAGACTGACAGGTGTTCCCCAGGAGCCATCATCCCCTGCTTGCAGAGCAATGGAATCTTTTGGGGGGCACACAGAAGTCTAGCTAAAGACCACACATCACAGCATCTTTTGCAGCTGAATGTAGCTACACGGTCAATAGGATGTCAGCATAAGTAACAAGTACAACTTCAATAGTGAACCAAATTAGACCATGTGGATGAGGGCAACACCCTCAGGATGGCCAAGACAGGGGAGAGCTTGGATCCCCAACCCATGGAGCTGCCATATTATCCAAGGACCCCTCATACTTGAGCTGTCACCTGAGAGAAAAATAAACTTCTGCCTTGTTTAAGTCCCTGTTATTTTGGTCCTCTTTTCAGCACTGGCTACCTGACCGTCCTACTTTGGATCTTCAGTATCTACACACCCCACTGATGCACAAAAAGCTTCCAAACACCTTTGAGTGATTTGTAAATAACTACCACTATTTGGCTGTGTGAACTATATACATACGGATTTTAAATTTAAAAGATATTAAAACAGTGAGAGATATTAAAAGTATTTGCCATTGTTAAAAATCTCTGATTTATGATGTCTATAACTCAAAAGAGGAAAGTAATATTTTATAAGAACATTATCTCATAAAAATTCAGAATGAAGTGATAGAAGTAATATATAAATTTGTATTATTCTTTGTTAGGTTTTATTTACTACTATTCACATGTCGGTAGCACTTGATACTTTCCAAATATTTTACAAAATTATGTCCCATATCTTGATTCCTAGGCTTTCATTCTCTTTCCAGTATTCCAGAATTAACTTCTGGAATATCGAAGCCGTCTATACTCATCTTTACTTTCTCTTAGGGCAGTGAGACCTCTAAAGGGTTGAGTGGTCAGCTGGGAGGCACAAAACAGTCAATGGAAGAGATCTGAATACACTCAATTTCAAGTCTGAAATTCAACCCTGTCTGAAATGGCATTTATCAATTAACACTTAACCAGTAACGGGGATGATGAAGACAAAAGTACCTTTCTGATATAAAACACGAGTCACATAGCAGAAAAGAGATAACGTAAGAGCTTTTGCAAATGGGTGCACATTTCTTCATCCGCTCTTTGTTTTACAATAACTTAGAAAGGAGGGTGATCCTTTGCTCCAAGCCGCACGTTCTGGGAAAACATACCAGCCCCCATTTTTTGTCTCACAGATATTTTGATTGGCTTATTTCTCATGGGACTTTCAGATCCTACCAGATCAAATCCAGCAGAAACTGAGCTGCCTACACACAGCCTCGTAGTCTTTCTTGATAAAGCAGCATCTCGGCAGTTCCAGGTACCCCCACAGTTCAAGGGAAGTAAAGACTGTGTTTGGCTGTGAGGCTTCGGAGGCAGACTGCCTGAGCTTGAATTCCAGTTCTCCTACTGCCGCCCTGGGAAAGCTTGGTCAAATGACTTAGCCTCAGTGTCCTCATCTGTGACATGGTGAGAAGAACAGCCTCCGCCTCCTCCGACAGTCGTGACGGCTGAAGAGTAACAGTGTGAAGTGTCTGCAACAGTGCCTGGCACCTGGGAGGTGCTACCAGAGTGTTAGCTCTTAGTATCTTTTTTACTGCGGGAATCAGAAAAAGTTTTGTGGAAAAGGTGATATTTGAAGGAGACCTTCAAAGACGAGTAAGATTTCAAGTGGCAATGATGGGGAAGAGGAGAGGGAAAAGTGAGACAGGAAAAGAGAACACTCCAAAATCGCTGGAACATAAGGTATAGGGAAGGCAAAAGCCTGGAAAATTAGGCGGTTCCACGAGAAGGGCTTTCCTGTAGAATACTCTCTAAATACAGAGCATTATTCCCACTGAGGAACTCAGCACAGTTTCTTACGTAACCTTATCTTTTCTCTTTAATCATGATTGTACTTTTATGAAGCATCACTACCAGGTACAGTGTGAAAACTCATTTATCTTGAAAAATAATTTTAAAGAAATAGATGGGTAAATTCAAAACCTGAAAACATCAGTATCTTTAAATCAACAGGACTAATCGATACACGCTACAAAGGCTCCAGGTGAATCCCCTGATCTTACATTTGGAGACGGCTCTGTTCTTCCATATTGTATTTCTTCTCTTCCGTTTTCGCCCGATTGTGCCATGTGGTAGGATCTGCCTTCAATGAAAGTAATGTAGTCCTTGTAAGAGCAGAGTGGGCCTGCCAGGATACCCATGAAGTTACAGTTGTAACTCAAGTACTCCAGTAGGCTTGGCATGCGCCTGCAATTGAAAGACATGCAACTTGTGAGATGTAACATAAGCTTTCGGAAACCTTGATAGGAATAATCATCTTCTACCTCACTGCTCTTACCATTTCCAAAATAAAACAAGCTTCGATTTTCACCTGCACCTATACAAATAAGAATTTAAAAGATCAAGATGTAGTAACGCTCAGCCGTATTCTTTGATAGAAGAGTTTCTATACCGATCTCTATGAACAACTACGAAGGGGTTCTACTTAATGCCTCATGATGAAACCTGATGGACGAGAAATGGCATAAAGAATCATCTCTTACTAGTCAATCATTCCCTCACTTAACAAATTTATGTGTGTACCAACTATGTGCCTGGTACGCTCCAGGGTCTAGAGACACTGTAATAAACAAAACAGAGAAAAAGTGTGCATTCTCAGAGCTCACATAACAGTTGGAGAAAACAGATTAAAAAAATATATATACATATACCTATGAAAAACACTTCCAGAGATGCTAAGCGCCACAAAGAGAAGGGGGTATTTCACTATATTAAAAGTCAGAGGAGGCCTTTCTGATAAGGTGACAACTGAGCAGAGAACAGAAGGAAGTGAGAGATGGAGTCATGGGCATATCCAGGACAAGGATTCCAGGCAGAGGGAACAATGACTGCGAAATCCCTGAGATGGGGACATATCCAGCAGCAGGAAAGACGGTGTGGCTGGAGCAGCCTGAACAGGGAAAAGAGTAAGGAGGAGAGTCAGGGAGAGCTGAGGTGAGATTATACAGGACCTGCCTTACGAACCATGACAGGAACTTTGGATTTTATTCTGAATGTGATGAAAAACTAAAATAGGGTTTTAAAACACCTATGATTCAAAAGAATCCCTCTAGACCCCATGTGGGGAAAGGGGACCATGCAGGAGGCTCCTGGGATCTCCAGGCAGGAGGTGACAGTGGCTAGGAGCAGTGGGGGAGGCAGCAGTTGCATACATTCTGGCAGTACAGGGGTTTGCTGATGGATTGTTTGTGGAGGGTAAGAGAGAAAGGAATCCAGGACGTCTTACAACATTTTTAATTCAATTGCTTTGAGGTCGGTTCAAATGGCACCTGGTATCTATAGTTTACCAAGCATTCTAGTTGTCAATGCAGGTAGACTGGTGAAAATGGTTAGTAACCTAGGAGGCTATTTAGACTATATATATTATCATATAAGTGAATTACGAGTGTATGTTTTTATTTACTTTTTAAAACCAGTTCCATTTAGAAAGTCTGCCATCCACGGACAAACAGGAACTATCATGAACAAAAGCAGTGCACCTGGGACAGCAAGCAGGCTCCTCAAACGCTACCGTCCCCTCTGCCTCTCTCACAGGAGAAGCTGTCTCCTTAGAAAGCACAAACACTCTGTGGCCAAGAAAAGTCGACAGGACCCTCTCATACATATTTTTATAAACAACAATCAATAGAGAAAACAGCGCTTCTGGTCCATTTGACACTAACTAGGTCACCACTTAGCCAAAACTCCTCTTAAAATTTTTCCAGAATTATTGTTCTACATTTAAAAGTGTTTTGAACCTTAAGCATTTTCTCTTGAGGGCTCAAAACTGTTACGAGCAAAATGTTTCTGATAGATTTTCTCTTGTAGCTCGTTCCACTGTTCCTTCCACCTCAAATACCAGGATGGCGCTGCAAGGATCCGCTGCAACCACAAAGTTACCAAAGAACTTCTCGTGCTCCAGCAACAGAGCTCCACTTTCAGTACCAACTATTTCAAGACCGAGACAATGTCAGGGTATCAAGGCGCAGCTCAATCTTACCAAGTCAAACTAGGTATCACCATTTGCAAGGACAGGAGATAACTCTTAAGCACGAAATCTGTTGAAGTAATTTCTGACTCAACTGTCACATCAAATGACAAGTCACTTTAGGCACTGAAGTAGATCATGATAATGTTTGCTCTTAAAATGAGAAATAAGTATAATTGTAACACTCCATTTATGACATTAAATGAAAGATTCATTCTTTCATTCCACAAATATTTGACATCAACTATGCATTGTCCTAGGTTAGGGCTTCTCAATCTCAACATTACTGACATTTTCTGGCAATCACTCTTTGTTGTAGGGGACTGTCCTCTGCACTGCAGGATATTTAGCAGCATCCCTGGCCTCTGCCCATTAGATGTCAGTAGCACCACCCCCTTCCATTGTGACAACCAAAAATGTCTCCAGACACTGTCAAATGTCTCCTTGGGGACACAAGCACCCTTGGTGGTGAACGTTATCGAGGTGAGGAGGATATAATGACAAACAAGACCAAGTTCCGTCCTCACAGAGCTCAGATTTGGGAGGTAGGGGGAGGGACAATCAAAATAAATATAAGATATAACATCAGACAATAATACATATTATGGAGGAAAATAAAGCAGGCCAAGGGCTAGAGTGGGGGCATTTCTGATAGGGAGCTCTGGGGGGACTGAGCGAGGGAGAATGGGAGGGCTCTGGCTCTTGCTGGGCCTTACATGCTGTGGTCAGAAGTTTGTCAGTTTATTCTCAATTCTCAAAGGAGCCACTGGAGGGTTTTCATCAGGGGAGGGGAGGAGTACAACCCAGTACACACTAAAAGGATCTCTGGCTGACAGGTGGAAAGTAGACTGCAGGGGGCATGAGAGGAAATGAGCCCAGGTGGGAAAGCTATTACGGCAGACCAAGTCGGAAATGAGGGTTGGGCTGGGGTGAGCTGAGTAGAAAGGTGAGCAGCTGTGAGATTAGAGAGAGGTTTCAAAGGAAGCGTTGACTTGACCTGCCAGTAAAGTGGATTTGCTGTAAGAAAAAGGGAGTTTGCCTGTGTTTTTCCCCTAAGCCACCAGTGACAAATGGTGCTGCTATTAACTAAGTGGGTACTGACAGTAGAAGCACAGAGGGGCGTGGGAGAGGGAAGAGGGAGACAGGGTCAGGAGTTCTATTGTGAACAGGTTGTATTTGAGATGCCCATTCACTATCCATGCCGAGATGCTGAAACAACAGCTGGACATATGAGGCTGGAGCTCAGCAGAGAGGTCGGAGTGGGAATATAAATTTAGGAGGCTTCAAATATGGAGACAGTATTTAAAGCCAACGGACTGCACGTGATCATCTGGAGAAGAGGCAGTCCAAGGGCTGTGCCCTGGAGCACAGGAATATTTAGTGGTAAGGCAGAGGGGAGAAGTCAGTAAAAAAGACAGAGAAACAGCAAGTGAGACAGAAGGAAAATGAGAAGAATGTAGTGTCCTGCCAGGCAAGTGAAGAAGGTATCTCAAGGACTGAGTGATCATCTGGGTCAAATGGTGCTGAGAGGTTGAGCAACGTGCAAACCAAGGCTGACAAATTTATTTGCCAAGATTAAGGGCAACCTTGAAAGAATGACATCAGACCAGTAATGGGGACAACAATCTGACTGCAGGGGTTGAGGAGAGAATGGGAGATGAGGAAGGAGAGTCAGTAAGAATAGACCGTCTTTCAAGGAGTCTTACTATAACGGAATGCAGAGTAATGGGGAGGTAGCCAGAAGGGAGTGTGAGGTAAGGAAGTTGGTGGGAATGGTCCAACAGAGAGGGAGAAACTGATGAGTGGACGATGCCCTGATGCACGAGACAGGATAAGCGAAGAAGCAAAATCCTTGAGGAAAAAAGCAGCAACTGGATTCAGTGTCAAATCAAAAGCTGGCCTTGGACCGGATTCTGGACAGTTACTGCTTGTCCTGGGAAAGAAAGGAGAGCATATCGTGACAGAGACAGGCAGTGTGGTAGATTCGGTGTTGCAGAATGAAGTGGAGTTGCCTTTATTTTATCCAAAAATACTTTTCTACCATCCCAAGTGAGTATGGAGGAAGAAGTGTTGGAAGTTTGAGGAGAAAGGAGAATATATATAATCTTATAAAACAGTGGGAAAGCGAATAGACTAAGGATAGGTGGTAGAACTGTTGGCAATACTAAGACCCACGTTTTAAGTTTCAGTGTAACAATTTCTACATGAGTCCCATCAGCAAGACCAAATGGTCCCCACTCTGCTTTCTCCCACTGTTCAGGTAGGCAGAGAGCTGAATGCGGGGTATGGACACACAGCGATGGGGGAGGGAAAGGTGGAAAGAGAAGCTGAGTGTCTATTAACGAGGGGTTATCTGGATGGACCAAGAACTCACAAAGCTCACAGAACCCAGATCAAATTAACCTCTCATCAACTAAGTATATTCAAGTGTATATTTATTGATATATAAAGATTAACTATAGAGAAGATCAAAATAGAATAATTTTAAAGATGAGGAAAATAGAAGAAGATTCCCAAGACATGCTACTGGGGTCAAAGGTGGACACTTACGTTAGAGTCTATCTACTATCAGACGCTTAATCTCATTCTTCTGATAGCCGTGCACTTATTAATTCTAAACTTACAATAAACGAGGGTACTTCATAGCAAGTTTTTCTTTAAGTAAAATTAGTATTTGATCTCTAATTATATTAGATTAAAAATAGAATCTGCCAAGAAATTAAGCTATTCCTTACATTAGTCAATAGAGTACCTATAACAAATGAAACAGGAGCCTATCGCAGAATGAATTCCTCAAATAATAATTGAGAATATCTTCCTAGCTCCTCATTATTTCCAGACATGTCATCTGCGTGCTGTATCAACATACCATATCTTAGCCCAGCACCTGCCACCAAGCTCCTGGCAGCTGCGATAATTACTCCTAATTACTACACAGCAGACATGAAGACTCAACACTCTTCCTGTCTTCAGGGAACTCGAGCTTCATAGAAGATACAGAAAAGTTAGCAGATAGCTCACGGTGCACAGGAAGTATATACTGTATGATGATACATTCCAGTGCAATGGGAGCCTTGAAAGGATGCCTAGCCTAGCAAGAATTGGTGGCAGGGAGGTGTGCAGAGGGAGGAAGGTTTCGTTTTCACGAAGTAAGTGCCTGTAGGAGGACAAGTCAGCCTTAGCAATGTGAGTAATGTGTGTGCTAGGCAGAGACAGCGTGAGCCATGGCAGGATACAATGAAAGGGCACGTACCTTACAGCTAAACCTCTCTGTGATGGAGTCAGTTCCTCATCCTTTCGAAACATCCCTGAGAAACAAAAATAGGTACTTTCATCAATTATGATTTCTCCCAAGAATGGTGTTATTTTCCCATTCACACTTTCATCACTTTCCTTATTTCAAATTCATGCATAATTATCCCACTTCTGGTATAACTGTTCGGTATAATTCTTCCCTTTCTTTCTCACTGCAACACAGGCTCAATCTTGCAAGAGGACTATTGTATAATCCAACACGTCTAGCCCTGTATAAGATAAATAACAGACATCAGAGAACTAATTTGACCCTTCTCTAAAGGAACTTAAGTGAAAAAGTTCCCCAAGGGGCCAGCCCAGTGGTGCAGCGGTTAAGTGTGCACGCTCCACTTCGTCAGCCTGGGGTTCGCTGGTTTGGATGCCGGGTGAGGACATGGCACCGCTTGTCAGAGCCAGGCGTCTCACATATAAAGTAGAGGAAAATGGGCGTGGATGTTAGCTCAGGGCTAGTCTTCCTCAGCAAAAAGAGGAGAATTGGCAGTAGATGTTAGCTCAGGGCTAATCTTCCTCAAAAAAAAGTTCCCCAATGCTAGCATATTTAATAGTAAATGCTGTAACTTTCCAAAAGGAGAATTAGAACTTCCTACTTTGGATCATTTAAATAACTAACATTAGTACTATGGACTAGAAGCTCAACATAAAGCAAGAAATTATTTCCTGACTCCTACATGACTCTAGTGAATGAAAACCAAACTCAAATATACCACCTTCATCCATTTCTTTACCTTTTCTCCCCCAAACAGTAGGATATTATTTATGATTACACATCAACTTACTACATCCTAAACCACATCAACTTACTCGATCCTAAACCCAGTTTAAAGAGTGAAGGAGGACTAAATTAAGATGCAAACAACACACTTAAAGCATATTTTTAGGTCTTCCCTAGCAGATGGCACAGGATGGGTAATATTCACAGTGGGGCTAAAAACCCACCTAAAATGGTCCCTAGGCTACTACAGAAGTCTGTTCTAACAGGCGCTCCTTCAGTCTGAAGAAATCAGAGCCTAATTCTTAGGACTCAGAGTGCTGACCGTTCCCGTCAGCAATTCCTATGGCAAGGCGTCCACTCACTGCAGATATAAAATATGAATACATAATATAAACGTTTATCCTAAAAACATACAGAAGTGTATGTAAGGGAGAAGGAGCAGGAGGAAAGACATTCAAGTTTTAATAAAAACACAGCACAGAGATGAAGCAGGGATTAATAAAACTTGATTTAGACCAAATGTCTATTTCCTTTGTATTTTAAATTGCCACTAATGTGGGTCATATGACTGAATCACACTATTTTATGTTGTTTTTGTCACTGAATTGAATGAAAAATTAAGATAAGACGCTGAAAAAAGCCAGACACACTTTAACAATGCTAAGCAGAGTTAAATATTTCCCCCATCTTACCTCCATCCCTACCTCCTTCTAATAGAGTAGAAAGTTACGGTAATATCTCAAGCAAAGGATTGTTTGAACAGGATTTCTTTCAGCAATGAAAAGTTAACTTCTAAATTCTTACCATCATGGATTTCATAAGCCAGACTAGTGATCTTCTGGGTAATTATCATCATTGGGCTGTGACAAAATAAAAAATAAATATTTTAAAAGAATAAATTTAAATTTAAAATAATACTTAGGATGTATGAAAAAGAGTTTATTCTGCTTATAAAACTACAAAATCTTTAAATTTTTTAACACGAAAGAAAAACGCCGAGTGACACCACTGCTGTGTTTGGGGAAGGCACAGGAGATAAGCATCCGGGCCCTCTTTCTTGCTTTATAAAAGCAGAAGAAAAAGTCTCCTCCTCTGAAAGAAACCACCTGTGGGCAGTAGCTCAGCCCGACTCCCCGCTTCACGCTCTGCAACATGCGGCCAGACGTCAAGGACCACGGGGGCATCAGACTCGGCTGCTGCCCAATTTTGACTCAACACCTTTCAACAAACCATGTTGCCTTTTGCCTCAGGGCTGAACTCACAGTGGAGAAGTAAGCTGCCTGGGAAATGGGCAACGGGTAGGAAGTTAAGGGAGTTTGGATGAGAAACGTGGAACAAAAGAGGAGAAGGGAAACGGGGGAAAAAGAAAGAGGATGAGGTCCGCTTCCCTGTTCCAGCAGCCAGGCACCAGGGTTAATGGCCTGTGGAGCCGCCCTAGAGACAACCACAGAAAGCATGCAAATCATGCACACACTAAAGCCAAGAGGACTTCAAGATCATGTCACCAGTGAGAAGATGGCAATGTTTTTTCCATATTTTCTAACCTCTAATTGAATAGATAACTTAGAAAGGGGAAAACTAAATAAATCCACTAAAAAAACCACCAGGATACACTTTTATCCTTTAACTATTACATTAACTTTCAGACATCAGTATTAAAGAACAATCAGCCGTAAGTTTTTTATTCATATTTTTAGAATTTCGATAAACCAGGAAATTGCGTTTCGCCTACAGGTAGAATGAGAGCTCTCTCTGCTGGGAGTACATTCACCCTCGCTACACAGCCCAGGGAAGGGCTTCAGGAAGGCCAGTCATGCAACTAGGGAGCGGCAGGAGGCGGCTCAGACCCCACCAGGTCTAGCCCGGCCCTGCACTCTCCCATTGTCCCCGCTGCTCAGAGCACGAGGTGGTCAGTGTCAACTGACACCTTCAGCAAAACAGCAGCATCCTTAAACACACGAGAAAGGAGACGATTTCTCACAATGTCAGCAACGCCATCAAGGGCTTGTTTTAAAGGTTGCTAGCACTGGCAATGAGATGCACAGACCTGAGCCCTCAAGAATTTACGCCTCATTCTCATTACCTAACCGGCAAGACCTCATAAAAAAAACTGTCAGACTGCTCTCAAACTCAAAGCACGGCATGGGGGAGACTCCTCCCGGGTTCCCTTAACAGTCAGTTCTTACATGCACACCACTCGCTCTCAGGAGATTATTCCCGAGGCAGCCTATTCCCCAGGGTGCTTTGAACATGCAGCTGCCAGTTTAGCTTTGCAAGATATTTTACATGCCTTTGAGGATTATAAAAATGCCTTATGATTTCCATTTCCTGGGGGTAAAAATCATTTTTCTCACCCTGCCTAATTCTCTTCATAGTTTAGCTCACCAATGAATTACAAAATACCCTTCGGTTCTACATTCTAATTCCCATGCCACCTTAAAACATGAAAAAAAAAAACCTGATAAAATAACTATTAAATTTATTTTATCAACTCAGAGGCATGCTAAATTGTTAGGTACATAAATATATATAAAATATTCCCAAAATGCAAATCTGTGCTTTTTGAGCGCATGCTCTGAGCGCCCAGTGGTGCCCGGCAGCCCCGTACAATTTCTATTCTATCAGGCGTGTAGCATGCACGATCTCTCAGGAAAGGAAGCTGGGCTGGGGGAGTAGGTGGTGTGAGGCTGTCCCGTGGTTCCCAGAACGACGCTCCCTGATAGAGATGGAAGAAGGCAGGGAGCAGATGTGAATGCTCCAGACACTTTCCGAATGTTGCTCCCTCCACTTAGACTACTCTGCCTGGAGCTGCTTCTAAGGATAGCTCCTTCTCCTTCCTCAAGTCTCGGCTTAAAAGTCCCTTTGTACAAAAGGCCCCTGGACAGCTCGATCTCCAGGAGCCACCTCTGCCCAAATGTGCGCAGATGGCCTTCCTTTCATCTTGGCTTCCTGTTCGTTCCCTTCAAAGTATTGTCATATTTGTGGGTGTTTCATTTATCAAATTACAGTGGTGTTTTAAAATTGAGGAACTAACAGTCTTTTTCTGCCAAATCTCCAGCACAAGATATGTGCTAAATAAATATTTTTTAAAAACAAAATGAACAAAATTCTAAGTATCCAGTCAAGCTCTATTACTCTTTCTGTAGGTTGATTATGCTCCCTCCCACCTGTCTATTCTCATCTGTGCTTGAAAGCATTTACCATACTGTTCTGCAATTATCCGTTTACTTTTCTGTCACCACAAAAGTCCTGAGCTACTCAACAGCAGGAACACTGCTTTATTTATCTCTGCACCATCGATACCTAGCATATATATGACTAATTTGCAAAAATGTCTCATTATCTTTTGTTTCCTTTACTGATGATCATTAGACCCAAATATTCCCTTTGGTTATAAATGGGCAACAATTCCACTGCTTCTGGTCCAACCTGTCTTGGGGTAGGGTCAGGGGGTGGCAGATGTGAGAGTAAAATTACAGAAGAAAAAATTATTATGGAGTGATAATGAAGGAGTGTGTTTTGAATAAAAGTAAGAAAATATAGAGGAAAAGTCCAGAAAGGGATGAACAGATTAAAGAGAGCTCAGAAAAGTAAACCAGAGGGGAAAACAGACAGATGAGTCCAACACCGGCACGTGCATGACCGGGAGACAGAACAGAGTGATAAGGAAAGAGGACCAACCTCACCCCATTACAGCAGAACCCACTGTGCAGAGAAAACACTTCTAAATGAAAATAATTCCACTGCTCACATAGAGATTAAGTGCAGTGGGTGTTCTTAACAGTGCGTAAATACCTGTTTGGGTGACAACTAGAGTGACTTACATGATTATTTCCCTCACATCTTTATTGACATTTTAACTACCTGTTGACTTCACATTTAGTGGAGCCTTCAATACCTAATCACCTCCTGACAGGACCCTCAAAGACCCTCCTGTTTCCCTCGGGTGGAGGCTGGGCGATGGAAGAGGGAGGGGAGCAGACGGCTTCAGAACCTCCGCCCAGGAAGGTCAGGGCCTGGGACGCAGCCACTGCAGCTCCTATAGGACGACATCCTATTCAGATGGAACAACGGACACTTTCTCCTACATACTCCGCTAGGAATGCGGGAAGAAATGAACCCTAACTGTTCGAAATAAATACTTCAGCTAACGAAACAGTTTGAGGTAATATAAAAAAATACCTCTCTGATACAAAGAACTAAAAATTCTAGACTTCTTGAAATAAAAAAAAGGATGCAAAAGTTAGAAAGTCTATTTAGATGCATTTTTTTCTCTACAAAGAATGAGAATAGTAGGATTTAGTTCTATCACACAGTAAAACTCAACTATAGTTAAACATTATAGAGAATGAATGCTAAAAAAAAGAATAATCATTTTCTTGATTGTTCCATTATCTGCAGGAGACTGCAAACCTCTAACGATACCTGTATATTAATGCAACAAAGCAAATACAAGCACCTACAAGGTAAAAGGTCAGTTGCCACAGGGGTGCAAGTAACCTAACAACAGCAGCAAACTGTTAATTCTCTATTCTCAGTCATCTCTAAGTACACAGGCGCTCTTTCATCCACAAACAACCAGACCCACCATGCACCTAACGTACCTAATGCCAAATGAATAAGCAGTGAGAGATACAGAAAAGGCCACTGGTCTCTGAGCCATCCAGTCATTCATTTATTTTACTCCCTCATTCAGAAAACAAGTATCTGATAACCACCTACGATGCACCAGGTGCTGGAGATATAGCCGTGAACAAGACAGAGTTCTCACTGTCATGGAAAGTACATTGTATCGGAGAGAGAGAGACAACGAATGAATTGACAGGTAAATATATGGTACGCCATATGTTGCTAAGTGCTGAGCAGAAGAATGAAGCAGCGTAAGGGGAGAGGGAGCGCCAGGATCCAGGTGAGAATTGGCCTCATCCAGAAGGTGACATTTAAACAGAGAACTTAAGTCAGAGAGCAAGCCATGTGGAGGTCTGGGGTAAGAACGTTCCAGGAAGAGAGAGAAGCAAGTTCGACAGCCCTCAGGTAGAAGTATGACTGATGTGTTGGAAGACTGGTAAGGAGGCTGATGTAACTGAAGCAGGCGAGTAAGGCAGACAGGAAGAGGAGCTGCAGACAGACAGGCAGCAGGAGGTCAGATCTGCCCGGCTTTCGCAGGGTGCTGCAAGGACATGGGAGGGTTCGAGGCAGAGAAGCGACTTGGTTTTAAGTGGCCGTGTGCTGGCTCTGGGTTGAAAAACCTGTGGGGTGCCGGGGGTGGGATAAACAGGCAGGTGAGGATGGCGGCTCAGACCGGGTGACAGCAGCAGCCGTCTGAAGTGGATTCTAGCTGTCTTCTGAAGGTAAAGACAACACGACTGATGACGATTTGATAATGGATTCGATGCAGGGCTTGAGACCTGATGCCATCACGGTTTTTGACTGGAGCAACTAACTAGAAGGATGGAGCTGACTGAGAGGAACGCAGGAGGAACAGGGAAGGGAAATCGGAAATTGTTTTAAGCATGTTCAGTGTGAGACGCCTATTAATAACTGAGGGGAGACTGGCAAACAGGCAGCTGGACACGGGAGGCAGAAAACTCAGCCTTAATCCTGACCATACTACCCACCAATTGTGGAAGACTGCGAAGCTATTTAACTTTTCTAAAAAAAATCATCTGATGCTGCAGCTATCTGTCTATAAAATGGGGATATCTATAAAATGGGATAATAATGCCACTGTGTGGATTAAATAAAATATGACAAATACTGGAACAGTATCTGAGACACAAAAGACGTTGGATAAACCTTCATTTAATAAATACTGAATTGCTGCCAAGTATAAGGCACTGAAAGTATACAATAATTAATT